TATCAGTCGAAAGTGTTTGACCTCCTGAGTCCAAAATTGTAATTAAATCTCAAATCGGTCGAAAGATTACGGAGATATGACAAAAGTTTGTACTTGAAAAAGAAAAAACAAAACAAAAACAACTCAGAACCATTCTATGAGCCGCTATGCAGCGGCTAAAAAAGTAGGAGGATACCAAGAATCACTAATGGATATATTTCAGGAAATCATGAGTAACTAAGGTACATTGTCATTAATATTTATGGAACTAATTTAACCTCATGGATTATTTAGTTATTGGACAGATATCGTAGCATTGCTATAATCCGCTTGATCTCCTCTTATCTTATATACCAATGCCTGGTTCAGTAGAAAAAGATTTAAAAATACGTATATGAAGAAATTAAATTTAGAAAGCTTATTTGTTTGTTCTTAAGTACAAAACTACACAATAAACGACGTGTGCTCTACCTATTGCGGGTATCGAAACCCAATTTTTAACGTTACAAGCCTCAGATTTACTGCTGAATCACCGGGCAAGCAAATTAAGAAAAAATAGGCTTCAAACAATATCAAAAACTAAGCCAACTGAAGCACTTTTCCGTTTTCATTTCCAATTAAAAATATCAAGTTTGGACAAAAAAGTCAGCATTAGAAAAGAACAAAGTGTTTAATATTAAAATTATCCTGATAATATAATAGCTTTACAAAGTGAAAAAACAATAATAAAATATTATATAGTTTTATACATGATGAAATAAATACTTCTCTTTTTCTTCCTGGAAGTAATCAATATCAAGTACAATAACACTCGTTATTTAAAAATTCTGGTGTCTGGTTGTCCTGACAACATAGCATCAACAAAGTAGCATGCACTTCCAGCTTATTTAGTAATCTCGCGTAACTTAGCATAAACAAATATTTATTTATTTGTTTTTGTTTGTAATTAAGCACAAAGCTACACAATGGGTTATATGTGCTCTGCCCACCACGGGTATCGAAACCCGGATTTTAGCGTCGTAAGTCCGCA